AGGAATTTCCCCGCCTTGACTTCGAACGTGCATTTTTCGGGGTTGAATCTCATCTTACATTGTCTCGCTTGGGCAAAGACTGCCTTGAGGTGTGCTGCATGGTCGGTGTCTGCTCGGGACTTGACGATCATGTCGTCCATGTAAACCTCGAGCATGTCTCCGATTTGCTTGTGGAACACTCTGTTCATCATACGTTGGTAAGTTGTCCCTGCGTTCTTTAGTCCAAAGGGCATTACGTTATAGTAATAATTGCCCGAGCTGGTCATGAAGGCAGTGCGATGTTTGTCGCCCATGGCCATTGGGATTTGGTTATAGCCTGAATAGGCATCCATGAACGACAATATCCTGTAGCCGGCCGAGTTGTCGACCAACATATCTATGTTCGGTAAAGGGAAAGCATCCTTCGGGCATGCCCGATTGAGATCGATATAATCAACACACATCCGCCATTTTCCATTATTCTTTTTAACTAGTACAACGTTTGACAATCAGGTTGAATACCGGGCTTCAAAAATAAAATTCGCCTCTAGGAGGTCTTTTACAACTTTTTCAGCAGCCTCCGTTTTCTCCGGAGACTGCCTACGCCTACGTTGTACTACTGCCTTAGCGGCGGGATCTATGGCGAGACGGTGACAGGCGACCTCGGGGTCGAGTCTGGGCATCTCTGTGGCGCTCCAGGCGAACAGGTCAGCATTCTCACGCAAGCAGGCTTTGATCTGCTTCCTTGCCAGGTCGGGGAGGTCGATGCCAATCTTCACTCCTTTGCTTGGGTCTGCGCCGAGGGGGACGAGCTCGAAGTCCCCGTCTGGGATTGGTCGAAGGGGGATTTGCTCGCCGTTGGGAGGTTTGTCTTGATCGAAACGAGTATCCAGAGCTATGGAGTCGACCTTTGGGGGAGCTCTCTGGTCTTCTACTTTGGCGGGCTCTAATTTGTCGGGCTCCTGTCGTGTCATCGCCGGTCTCTTGGCGGGCCTTATCTCGGTGTCTACAGTGTCGCGTCCTTTGGACGCGGCATTGAAACACCTTCGAGCAGTGACTAGGCCCCCCTGGATGGCAGCCATCCGTGCCCTCTTGGTGTAGAACTTCATCTTCAAGTGGACGGTGGAGGGCACCGCGGTCAGTTCCACCAGTGTTGGTCTCCCCAGGATGCAGTTGTAGAGGGACGGGAAGTCGATGACGAGGAAGCGTACCTTAACCTGCCTCGTCGCCATGCCCTCGCTGAAGGTAACCATGAGCTCGACATATCCCCAAGGCTTGTAGGTCGAGTCGTTGAAGCCCTGTAAGTCCGACCCTACATACGACGAGAGGTGCGAGTCGTCTAGCTACAGAGTCCAGAATAATTGACTGTACATCACGTCGACGGAACTTCCTTCGTCGACGAGGATGCGGTGCACGTCAAAGTTGGACATTCTTGCTCTTATCAGCAGAGGAATGACTGTGTCGGGGGCTTCTCCGGGGAGCTCTTCTAGGTAAAAGGTGATAGGCTCCGACCTACCTTTTACCCTTTCAAAGGTCAGTGTTTGTGGAGGTGCCGAGTCGACCAGTTCATCCAGATTTCTCTTGGACGAATTAATAGTTAGGTCGTTGAATCCCCCACCATTGATGACCATGGCAGAGGGAAAGTATTCCCACCTGCTTTGTATCGTGAGCGGCTCCTGTAGGTGTTCGGGGACGTAAAAGTCCTCTGGTTTGGTGACGGAGAAGGCGGTCTGGACGGGGACCGACTCGTCAGATGGTCGGGCGTCTTCCTCCGGTTCTCTTGTCTCCCAAGCGTCACGATGAGGAGCATCGTTTCGCCAGTATTGGGCGAGCCTCCCTCCCTTGATGAGGGTTTCGATGGCGTCCTTGAGGTGGACGCAGTCTTCAGTCAGATGACCATGACTCCTATGGTACTGACAATACTTGCCTTTGTCTACTCTGGGCTTGGCAGGAGCAGGTCGGGGGCGTTTGACGCCGCCGTCTTTAAAGTCCGTATTGGCACACTCTGCCAAGATGCACTCGCGGGAAGCTGTGAGCAGAGTGTATTCTGTGAAGCGCCCGGAGGGTCCTCTCTGCTTGTGGACTTCTCGGTGTCTATCCTCTTTTCTTTTCTCCCTGGTCCGTCGAGAAGGAGCGGCTTCTTGGCGCGGGTTGCTGCTGGAACCGTGAGTTCTGGGGTCCCGGGCTCTGTTGGCCGCCTCCCTTTCCTCGTAATCCATATACGCCCGGGCCTTCTCGAGGAGGGCATCAAATGTTCGGGGTGGTTCGATGCCTACCGCCTTTCTAAATTCTATACCGGGGAGGAGCCCCCTCTCCAGCAAGTACCTTTTCATGTGGTCCACGCAGGGGACCTGTATGGCTTCGCGGTTGAAGCGATTGATAAATTCTCTCAAGGTTTCATCCTGTCTCTGGATGATGGCCTCGAGTGCTGCCTCGGTCTTTAGGTGTCGCCGAGACGCAGTGAATGAACTTATGAATTGATTCTTCAGGTTTCTCCACGAGGTGATTGATCCCGGGGTGAGGCCTTTATACCAATCCATTGCTGCCTTTCTGAGGGTCGTGGGAAACAATCGGCATTTGATGGGTCCCCCGACATTGTGGTAATGCAACATGGCCTCGAACCCGTCTATGTGGTCGACTGGGTCCGCGACTCCGTCGTATTCCTTCAGATATGGAGGCTTCTCCATGCCCGGAGGAATGGGCGCCTCCATGATGGCTTGTGGTAGGGGACCGCAGAGGTCATCCTCGTCACTTCGCTTCGGGGACAGGGATGGGGACCTGAAATACTGTCGTGCCCGGCGGTCCTGGTCGTGCTAGGCATCCCTCGAGCGTGGTGCTCGTTGGTCAATTCTTCCATGCCTGTCTCCGGAGTGTCTTCTTTCTTGCCGTATGGGGCCATGGTTGCACCCTCCGGCTTCAATGACGGGTTGCCTCTCCAAGGGGGGTCGTCTCTCCGAGGGTCGAGGCGACGGGCTTCAGGAGGTGTCTCTGTATTGTCTCCGCGGGGGAGACGGGAGATGTACCTCTGTCGCTCGAGGAGGTGGAGTCTGGGGCCTCCTGTGTCTCCTCGCGGGTCTTCTATCGTCTTCTAACGCCCTCAATCTTTCCCCCTGGGCAAAGATGAGGTAATTGGTTTGGTTGATCGCCGCGAATAGTGCGCGGGTTGTGGCGTCTGCCCCGGCGGGGACATGGACTTCCTGAAATTGGGCAGCTCGATAGTCTTGGGGAGCTGTGTTATCCTCTTCGAGTGGCGGAGGGACTGAGGAAGATGAGGCAGTAGCTCCATCGCGGTGGACTGAGGGCCCGGGGATGGTTCCCCCGGGGAGTGTGTTATGGTCGGGGTTACCGGTGTTGTCGGGGACTCCATTTTTATCTGCGAGGTCGTTGTTTGTGTCGACGATGCGGACGTTCTGGTCATCCCGAACTTGGTCAGCCATGACGGTATGAGGTGATTTTGAGCTTTGGTCTTCGAGGTTTTGCAAGACGGGGAAGCTAGTTTCCCACAGACGGCGCCACTGATCTTACCTGATCAGACTTGAACCGTCATGATTGGCTCCGGGCAGAATTTGAGTGAGATGGGGGGGGGGGGGGTACCTGCAAGGCACTCCAATGCTAAAATGAGTGACGGAATGAGCAGGAAAAAATGTATGTATGCGTAAGAGATGAATACCTGACCCTCTAGGAACAAAGGGTATTTATAGCCCCAACGCGGGGCCAAGGTCCCCTCATTGGGCCGACCAGAATTGGCCCAATAAAGGAACTGCCAGGTTCTACATGTGTAGTGGGGACCCGCACGTGGCCCCCTTCCTGGTGATGCTCTGCGAGAAATGAGGAGGGACGAAGACACGGTCTTTCCGGAGTTTAGATAATTTGGTAACGGTCAAAATCTGCCCTACGAGGAGGGTGCTCGAGCTGGGCTCGAGCTGGAGTTCCCGTGGTCGGGGACACCATGTGTCGCGGGCAACGGCGGGCACGACTGTAGTCTGTGGTCGGGCGCGCTGGCGGGAATCTGCAGGCGCGCGTTCCTCGAGGAGCTGCTTAGATTGGGCCTTTGTTCTTGCTTTTGGGCCAGGGCGGGCCCAGTCCAGAACAGTATTATAATCATTACAGTTTTATAAAATCTTTTACGATGTTCTTTGATTGAATTCTTATATTTTTCAATTAAGTTGTATTTGAATTATAAAAGATAAATATCTTGAGATTTGTGGTAAAATTACAAAGATAAAATAGTAATTTAATTTTAAAATACATCTCTCCCTTTCTAAACCAAACATATTTGTAAATAAAACCTCTTTTCTCCTTCCCTTTTATATTTTGAATCAAACATATATTTGATTAAAATCTCTCCCTTCCCTTTCCCCATCTTCCCTCCCTTTGATAAAAATACATCCCCTCCTCCCTTCTTTCAATTGAACCAAACACACCCTTATTAATGTTAATGAAACTTTATTTTTTGATAATTTTCTACTTTATTTTTTATTTACCTTTCCCGTTGTAACTAAAAAAACTCAGAGCTTTACCCAACATTTTTAGTGAATTGATATATGTTAAGTTGATTTGTGAGACAGGCATTGAAAATTTAAAATAAAAGATAACTTTTTTAACAAAAAATTTAGATGAACAAAAGTTATTAGTACTACTAAAGAATGAGATATTTTAGGGGTAACTAGAGAAAATTAAAATATTTATATGTTTAAGTATTCTCTTTTCTTTTCATCAAGTAGAACGCCCTTACAGAAAATTATGTAAACTTTTGATCTAACCGCTTTGAAATCTTCCCAGTGGAGTGTACAAAGGCATGTTGACCGTTGGATGAATGTCCCTAGAAGAAGTTCCCATCATCATCATCTGCAGAAAACCCTAGCTCCACCTTCCCACTCCATTTCCGGCAGCCACGTAACTCCTCTCCCCAAATTCAACTTCTTATCGTCTTTGTCATCATCTCCACTTCTCAAAAACCCAATCAATTTTCACTTCAAGTAACTTACGTCGTTCGCATCGCCACAGTTTCACTGAAGAAAATGGTGGAGAGAAGAAAGCCTCTGGTTCTATGTTCCACCAAAAATGTCATCAATTCCTTATTGAACTCTTCCACTTCTTCAATCAATGACTTCCCCAACTTGCATTTACCGGTTGGAATTCTCCGATTATCCAACAATTTGCCTTCTCTTGACCACTCCGCACTCATTGCTCTCTCCACTTCTCTTCTCAAAAGACTTTCCATCACTTCCGGTTCACCGGTAATTCTCTCGTCATTTAGAGTTTCTTAAATCAATTATTTACTCGTTAAAACTTATTGGTATTGATTGTGAATTTTCTCAGGTTTTGATAAAAAATGCTGAAATGAACACGCACAGAATTGCAGTGGCTATTGCTCTTGACCCTCCTAGCAATGACAACGACACCCTTGACATTGATCACTCATTGTCCTCCTCTTCTAGAATAATGCTTGTGTTTCCTTCTTGTGATTTCCCTCTCAACGGTCCTTTGTTCAACACTGAAATTGCTTATTTGTCTCCTCTTTTGGCCTTTAATCTTAACTTGCACATTTCATCTTTGAAATCCGTTATTCACAACGGCCAAGATGCTTTGTCCTCTTATTTCAAACCTCAATGTCAAGCGGGTCATGAGGGTGCTGATAAAAGCATTGAGGATTCAGTCATTAATATAGAGTTGGCGCCACTTGCTCAACCTCCGAGATTTGCTTCCCTTCTGAGGGTTGCTTTTGTGAAGATACCGGAATGTGGCATCCTTGATTCCATTAAACCAACTTCGGATGTTGAAACCAAAGAACGTCAAGACCTGATTGACTTGGCGTTGCAGAAGTATTTTGAAGTTGATAGATATTTGTCGACCGGAGATGTTTTCGGAATTAACATTAGTTGGAACTGTAATTCCACTATTTGCATTCCTTGTAACCAAAAAACACAAAAGCAAAATGACAACCGCATTTGTTTTAAGGTATGTTGACCTCTTTTCTCTTATATTTTAAAGCCTCGTGAAACTGTGTCAGGTTCTTTGTTAGAGTGTAACTTATATCTTCAGGTCATTGCTATGGAACCATTAGATGAACCAGTTCTCCGTGTCAATAATACCTTAACCGCGTTGGTGTTAGTAGGGAACTCCCAGTCTGCCCTTCCTCCAGATTTGTTAATTGCTGGACCAGAAGGGCCTGTGCCTTTGCAAAGGGACACAGTGAAGATCTTGGCTTCAATACTTGCACCAACTTTGTGTCCATCAGCACTTTCTTCCAAGTTTAGAGTTTCGGTGTTATTATATGGCTTGGCAGGTGTGTTCTATATTGTCAGGCTATGTTTTCTAAAGGAGTCAGTACTTTTTTCTATTCATCGTAATGGATTATTATTTGATACCCTCAGTTGTTGCCGCTGTTGTTTATTTGAAATATTTATGTCGCTTGAAAGTGTCAAATTAATGGTGTGTTTGGATTGCATTGACTGTGCATATTTTCCTGAACAACCTGTTTTGCAGGTTGTGGGAAAAGGACCGTTGTTAGATATGTTGCTCGTCGACTGGGCCTGCATGTGGTGGAATATAACTGTCACGATTTAATGGGCTCTGATAGAGCATCTGTTGCTCTAGCTCAAGCTTTCAAGACTGCTCAAAGGTAATATTTAGAATATTAGGAATGATAAGAACACATTATATAGAAAACTTTGATCCTATGCAGTTTTTATTTCCGGCATGGATTAGCATACACACATAGCTATCAGGACAAAAACATATAGTTTCAATCATTTATCCACCTTTCTTTTTCTCCCCAGTTGTTTTGCTCCACACGACATTTTTATTTTATTCATGCTTTAATTGAGCCACTTATTTGATCGTTGGTTGGGCTTAAATATACACAATGTTTTGGATGTGTTATTCTCTCCAAACATCTAGTATTCTCTTATGGTATAATATTATTACAGATACTCGCCAACAATACTTCTTCTTCGTCATTTTGAGGTGTTTCGAGATTCACATTCACCTGAGATTTCACCAAATGATCAAAGAGGCAATGCATCTGAAGTTGCATCAGTTATTAGGAAATTCACTGAACCAGTTGGTGAACATGATGAGAACTCTCTGATGAAATCAAACGGCGAATTTGTAAGATCTAACTTAGTTGAAACTTTCTATTGCAATCACAATTGTTCGAGCTATAAAATTTTTCTGTACTCTTTGTTCTTTACATCACAAATGACATGTCTTGTTGTATTGTAAATCAAATAAAGTAAAACCAGGGAACATCAAAAGAAGCCAACAGGTAAGATAATATTAAGCAGTAATAGCAATTTCTGTTATAGTAAAGAAAAGTTGATGAAAAGGAATTAGCTATTGGAATTTCTAATAAGTTGGAGAAATTTCTTCATGGAGGAGATTCAAGCATCTAAAGTTGACTATTTCTATTAGGGATGAAGTATTATCTATCAAGTGACATGGAATACATTTCAATAATAACAAGAGTAGAAGACACATCCTGCAGAAACAGAAAGTGGCCTTAAACATGCCATGTGCCCTCAAACGTGTCCCCTTAAAATTATGATCTTCTTCTTAGAATGTTAATGCATATACACAAATCTATATTTATGTCAATATGTCTTTTTCATTAGACCAGTCAAGTAGTAAATCAAAATCAAGATTGGAAAAATCTCAACACCTATGTTTTCCTTTTGTTTTTAAGTAGAATTGTAAAGGTATTTATTAGTACAGCATGCTGGTGTAGGTGGAGAAGAATGCTGAAAAGACAAGCGGGCATCCGGTCCTGTTGATTGCTGCAGCTGATAGTTCGGAGGGTCTACCTTCAACCATCAGACGCTGCTTTAGCCATGAAACGAAAATGGGGCCTTTGACAGAAGAGCAAAGGGCTGAAATGCTATTGCATTCACTGCAAAATATTTATGGACTCCATTCTAATGTGAATATGGAATAGAACCTTCTCTTGTTTTTATACCTTCCGTACAAATTAAACATCTTTTGTTGATTTTAAACAATTGCATTGTTGATTCTTTCAGACTGATTTAGAGGGTATTGTAAAAGAAATAGTTGGACAGACATCTGGTTTCATGCCTAGGGATATGTGTGCTTTAATTGCAGATGCTGGTGCCAACTTATTTCCCAGCAGCAATGCTGAAGTAGACAAAGTTGAACCAGAAGTTGCAGATAGTTCTCTTAGTTCAAAGGTGACAGAGGACAAGGAGTCTGAAGTTTCAGCTCGAAAACCTGAGAAAGAAGACTTGGTGAATGCTTTGGAACGATCAAAGAAAAGAAATGCGTCAGCATTGGGTACTCCAAAGGTAAATTAAGCAATCAGGATTTGTGATATTTTTCTTATTTGTATTAAGTGGTATTTAAAATCAAGATTAATATACCATTTTTTATTGTTGAAAATTGTACACATTAGCATGTAATATGTATCATGGGAGAACAAGTTCTTCAATGCATGAATTTTTTTAAGTATGGATTTTTATGCAGGTTCCGAATGTAAAATGGGACGATGTTGGTGGGCTTGAAGATGTCAAAAAATCAATCCTGGATACTGTTCAGGTGGGCTTCTTGTTTTCATTACTTCACTGTTGTCACTTTTCCCCCTGATTTGGAAGTGCAACTTCAAACTTTTGAAATTGTGCTAACTATAGCCGAAAACAGTGCCTCTTATGTCAACTTGAAAATACATTTGGTGTAAAAAGGAACTTGTGGTTATGTTTACATGGTCAACATTTCATAAATGTATTTCATAAGCTGACTGAGTTGAATTGCATTTTAGTGTATACTCAAATAGAAGAGTTCAAATAAAATAAGAAAGGAGGTGCTTTTGGAGAGTCAAAATTGAAATATGAATGAACTTTACACCTAAAGTTCAACATGGAAGCTGTCAAGACAAATTTCTTCTAAAAAGAGATTGAATGTCCTGTTTCTGCTATATTATCAAGACTAAATCATAGATTATTATTATACTTTATAATATCACTTTTTCTTTTTTTCAGATTATTTCCAGTCTCATTTTTTCTTTACTTTTTTAATATTTATCTTTCTCAATCATATGTTATCCTGGAGATACTATTTATTTTTTGTAATTTCTGAATAACCGATTCACTCTGTATTACGTCGTTTAGTTGCCTCTCTTGCATAAAGATCTATTTGCATCTGGGTTACGCAAGCGGTCTGGTGTTCTTTTGTATGGTCCTCCTGGAACTGGCAAAGTAAGTTGTAAAGTACCTTTAAATGATAACCTTCTTTTACCGCAAATTTCTCACCCTTTACTCACAAAAGTTTTCTTGTGCCATTTTCTTTTTATTTATTTGTTGTCAGACATTATTAGCAAAAGCTGTTGCTACAGAGTGTTCCTTAAATTTTCTTAGTGTGAAGGGTCCCGAACTGATCAACATGTACATAGGCGAGTCTGAGAAGAATGTCCGAGACATTTTTCAGAAGGTATAACAATATTTTGGTTATTTCTACGGGTGTTTCAATTTTCTGTGAATTACAAAGTATATGGAAAACATTTTAATAAAGTAAAACACCAATATAATTCTCAGGCCAGATCAGCCCGTCCATGTGTCATCTTCTTTGATGAGCTTGACTCTCTTGCACCAGCTCGGGGAGCTTCCGGAGATTCTGGGGGTGTTATGGATAGAGTGGTTTCGCAGGTGATTTCCTTTTCTAAGTAAGACCTGGTGTTTTAGACATTTTCTTTGGACTCCTGATGTAAATTGTATTTTCCATTATTAGATGCTTGCAGAAATCGACGGCTTAAGTGATTCAACACAGGTTTTTTTTATATCCTCCAATTTGTTGTCTATTATAAATTTTTTTGTTTGTTTGTATTTTGCTTCTAACAAGTGTTTTCTTTGTTAATGGCTTAATAGGATCTATTTATTATTGGTGCAAGTAATAGACCAGATTTGATAGACCCGGCACTTCTTCGCCCTGGTCGTTTTGATAAATTGCTATATGTTGGCGTTAACTCTGATGCATCTTACAGAGAGCGGTAAGTTGTCTGCTTTTCTAGCTTCCTTTGTCGAGCAGTATGGATTGTTTGATTGAATGGTACTATGCTATTCTCTCTTAGGGTACTGAAAGCTCTTACGAGAAAGTTCAAACTGCATGAAGATGTTTCACTTTATTCCATTGCAAAAAAATGTCCACCAAACTTCACCGGTGCAGACATGTATGCCTTGTGTGCAGATGCTTGGTTCCGTGCTGCAAAACGCAGGGTAAGCCCAGCCAGGATCACTGGTTCTCACAGTTATTTTGTGTGTTTTGTTTGATATTAGGTCGCTTATTGCGTATAGTTTGATAGTGGGCAATCACTATAAAGAGGAAATAGCAGCATGTATATATGCATCTTTTATTGTGTGAATCGAGAGGATACTCAACCTCATTGTTTTGTTCTAGGTTTTGAATGCAGATCCAGAGTCCTCCAACCCAGATAATGAAGCAAATTCTATTGTTGTTGAATACGACGATTTTGTCCAGGTAACATTAGAGCAACTTATCCACCCACCCCAAGAGTTTTCTAGTAAGTAGTTGGGTGACCAGCATTTCCTGTCATTTTCAGGTCTTAGAAGAGCTTCAGCCTTCCCTCTCAACGGCCGAGCTTAAGAAGTACGAGCTTCTTAGAGATCAGTTTGAAGGCACCTCTAAATGAGTTTTGGACTGATAAACAATCAATCATCAACCATTAATTTTGCCAGTATACTAGGGAGACGAAGTTCTTACAGATACAACAGCACGCGGTCAAACAATATCGGTCATAAGATTAAGACTGGACGACATACTTTTCAGCTTCACCAAATCTGAATATAAGCTGTGCAATCTATCAGATCGGAGAATCGAGATCTTTATATATGGGCCTACATGGAATGGGTTTCCGATTTTCTGTATATAGTAGGCTTCCAACCATGTAATAGGGCACATCCAAAATAGGAACAGCTTCCCATAACCTAATTATCATAACTATTTTTGTATATTTAAGTTGTTAAATAGAGGCTATAGTGCTATTGCAAAGTGATTTGAACAAGCCGTTATCTTCTAAGATCTGTAATGAATAAGAATAGCTGATGCTGTTGCATGAAGCTCAGGGTGATAACATCTTGTGTGTAATTTTCAGTGAAAAAAATGGTAAATGAATTACGCAGAAGCATATCTATGTTTACTGGTTATTGAATTAGGAGAGACTAAGAGACAATTAGGTTAAACCGTGTGTTTTGAAAGCACTACGCAGACTTTATTATATATAGAGAGATTACAACTAATTATATGATATAATCGATGTAGAATTATTCTACATACAAATATTCTTAACATTATATATTTACAATTATCAACACTTCTCCTCAAGCTGGAGCATATAAGTCAAATGCATTAAGCTTGGCAAATATATAATTAGTTCTAAGGCTTTGCAGAGATTTTGTAAACACATATGTTAATTGATCATTAGAGTTGACAAAGCTTGTGACGATGTTGTTAGATTCAATCTTCTCTCTCATAAAGTGACAGTCTATCTCAATATGTTTGATCCTCTCATAGAAGACTGGATTTGAAGCAATGTACAATGCAACTTGATTATCACATACAAGTGTCATTGGTCTTGCTTCTTCAATTTTAAGTTCTTTGAGCAAGTGTTTTAATCAAATGAGTTCACATGTTGCCATTGTCATGACCCTATACTCTGCCTCAGCGCTTGATCTTGCAACTACATTTTGTTTCATACTTTTTCAGGATATAAGATTTCCTTCAACAAGTACACAATATCCTGAGGTGAGTCTATCAATTGATGACCCTGTCCAATCAACATCAGAGTATCCAACTATATGAGTATGCCCTTTATCTTCATACACTAAACCTTTTTCTGGAGCACATTTAATATATCTTAGAATTCAGATAGCAACATCCATGTGTTCCTGACAAGGGGAATTTAAGAAGTGACTTACCACACTGATTGCAAAAGAAATGTCTAGACGAGTGACTGAGATAATTCAACTTTCTAACCAATCTCCTATACCTTCCTGAGTCTGATAGAGGCTCCCCCAGATTGGGTAGTAGTTTGACACTTGGATCCATAGGAGTATCAACTAGCTTAGCGTTCAACAAACCCGTTTCTTCCAAAATATCCATAGCATATTTCCGTTGAGAAATCACCAAACCATCTTTAGATTGGGCCACCTCAATACCCAAGAAATACCAGAGTTTGCCAAGATCCTTTGTCTGAAATTGGTTCGAAAGATGTTGTCTCAACTAGAGTATTCCTGACTCATCACTACCAGTTATGACAATATCATCTACATACACAATAAGATAAATACACTCTTGGACTGAGTGACGATAAAAGGCAGAATGGTCAGCTTCACTACAGACCATACCAAAATATTGTACTACAATGCTGAATCTGCCAAACCAAGCTCTCGGAGATTGTTTAAGACCATAAAGAGACATGTGTAGCCTACAAACCATATTCAATGACCCCCCTGAGCAATAAACTCAGCTGGTTGCTCCATATATACTTCTTCTTCAAGATCACCATGTAAAAATGCATTTTTGATGTCAAGTTGATGAAGACGCCAATGTCGAATGGCTGCAATGGCTAGAAGAAGTCTAACAGACGCCTTCTTGGCTACAAACGAGAAGGTATCATTATAATCCAATCCAAAAATTTGAGCGTATTCCTTGGCTACCAAGTGAGCTTTAAAACGATCAATCATACCATCTGGACCAACCTTCACTATATAAAACCAACGAAAACCTACTAAATATTTTCCAGTGGATAGAGGAACCAGTTCCCAGGTACCACTTCTTTGAAGAGCACACATTTCATCAATCATTGATTGCCTCCACTCAGGGTGAGATAATGCTTCGCCTGGAGATTTAGGAATAGAAATAGAAGACAAAGAGGACAAACAAGTATACTGCAAAGGGAAAAAACGATGATAATATAAATCAATATAATATGGAGAAAGATTTTGTATTTGACGTATACCTTTGTGAAGGACAATCGAAAGATCAGACTCAGGTTGCAGGATCGAATCCGGTGATGGCGATAGCGTCGAAGGAGAGTCTACAATGACTTCAGGGACAGGTACAACCTCAGGGACATGTACAACCTCATGGACATGTATGATAGACGTTGGTTTACGACGCCGATATGTTTGAAGTGGGAGAGAAGTGAGGGGTCAACCATATGGGTTTCTCGTGGGACAGATTCCCTAGAATGATGGGGGATAATGGGAAATGAGACTTCCGGAAGAGGTGTGGGAGTACTTTCTTGAAGGGATTCCAGAGTGACTTGGGTGGATGCAAAATATGGCACAAACTCGAAGAAGGTAACATCAGCCGATATCAGGTATCGCTGCAAAGTGTGTGAGTAACAATGATAACCCTTTTAGAATCAATGATAACCAAGAAAGACACACTTTAGTGATCGAGCTGATAGTTTATCAAGACCAGGGGAGAGATTATGCATAAAACATGTAGACTCGAAGACTCGATGAGGAATTGGGTGAAGAGGAGAGTTTGGAAACATGATTGAATGAGGGATTTTATTATTAAGGACAAATGAGGGCATTCGATTTATGAGATAACACGCCGTGAGCACAACATCCCCCCAAAATCTGAGAGGGACATTACCATGGAGAAGTAGAGTTCGAGTGGTTTCTACGAGATGCCAATTTTTGCATTCGGCTACCCCATTTTGTTGAGGTGTATAGGGGAAAAATGTTTGATGCAGAATACCATTGGATGACATAAAAGTTTGAAATTGTTGGGATAAATATTCATGTGCATTGTCACTTCTTAAGGTACGAATGGACAAACCAAATTGGATTCTTATTTCTCGATAAAATTGTTAAAAAATAGAAAACAATTCAGGTTTGTTTTTCATTAAAAATAGCCACGTGCAACGTGAAAAATCATCAATAAATGTTAGAAAATACCTAGACTCAAAGGTAAAACAGTACACGATGGACCCCAAACATCAGAGTGAACTAAAATAAAAGGGGATGCAACCCGTTTATTGACTCGATCGGGAAAATGACTACAAGTATGTTTCCCTAATTGACAAGACTCACACTGTAAAGTGGATAATTTAGATAAATTGAGCACCAACTTTTGTAGCTTGTGAAGACTTGGATGACCTAACTGCGCATGTATAATGAGTGGAGAATGTGTGATGGAGCATGTGGTAGATGATATAGAGAAGTAGTAAAGGCATTGGGACTCACATTCAACGGCAATCGTCTGTCCCGAACTTTGATCCTGCAGAATAACATCACTGTTAGTAAAAGTGATAGAACAATTAAGGGAACAAGTTAAACGACTGACTGACAGTAGATTAAATGGGCAATTAGGTACGTATAAGACAAAAGTAACAAAGAAAGATGGTAGAATTTGAACAATATTGATCCCTCGGGATCGAGTTTGAGAACCATTTGTGGCAGTTATACTCGGTAAGAAACCAGGGGTAGAAAGGGAAGAGAAAAGATTTTTATTACCGGTAACATGATCAAACGCACCAAAGTCGAGGATCCAAGGACCAAAAGGATATTATTGAGAGACGCAAACATATGAATTACCAGTGTGTGCAATCGAAGCCTGGATCCAGAGGTCTGGTTAGTCTAACACCACCTGAGAAAATCCTCGTAGCTTGGCGTAGGATTCTGAAGAGAAGATGAAGTCTGCATAGTGTCTGGGTTATCAATTTGAGCTGTATTTACCTGCCGTGGAGGTTTGCCATGCAACTTCCAACAACGATCGATAGTATGTCCAAGTCAGTTATAATGGTCACACTTAGGACGAGGTTTGGAGTTGGATAACCCTCTTCAAAGGGGATTTTGATTGTTACCAAGAGATGCAAGAGAAGCAGTGTCACTGGTGTTGGAATAGAAATAGATGGAGGAGAAACCGGGCCAAACGCATGAGGTGTAGCCAAGTGCAACAATTGTTCACTAACTGTATCATAGTTAGGAACAATAGTACATGATAAAACCTGGTTACGAATGGATCCGAGTTCTGATGGTAGTCCTTTAAGTGCCATGACCATGAAATATTTACTCGGTTGTTCAGCATGAGCTATTGCATCTTTTGCATAAGGCATGAGGGTTGCGTAACTTGATTTCAAGGCATCAAGCTTACTCAAATAAGCTTGCACATCCATATTTTTCAACTTCACTGTGTTGAGTTTGTGGATGACACTGTATAGAGAATGAACGTTGTTGGAAAAGACTTTCTTGGCCTTTTGCCACACCTCATAACAAGTGGAGAATGCTTGGTACTGCGCTTGGAGGTTAGGTGCTATGGAAAACCACAACACAGTACACAAAGAGGCATCAATTTTATTTTATTTAGCGAGTTTGACGGCTGCAAGGTCACTCAATTGGGTGGTTAGACGCTCTTCATATCCTTGACCATGAAACAACATCTCGACAACACGAGCCCATATGTTATAGTTGGATGATTCAGTTATTTTTTCACATGGGATAAGCGGAACTTTAGTAAACAAGACATAATCAACATCTCCTATGGCTTAAAACACAACAATTGGGGCTGTTTGAACAAGAGTACGACTTTTTGTAAGTATAATACAAAAATCGAGGGCGGATCTGGAACTGGAGGAAGAAGGCGATTTTCCGATAAATTTTTTTCATGAATAGTGAC